GTTCCCTCTCCCTCCAGATTTTGGAATATCTCTGAAGTGGTAGGATTTCAAATATCTCTGAAATGGAATTACAAATCCATGCCTTTCAACATTTTGTGTCTCTCTCTAGTCTCATGTCTCATTCATTTGCTACTTGTGTGTCAGACATGAGGCTGGAGAGAGACTGAGGATATAAGAGACCTGATATTCAGAGGAAGGGGATATAATATTATACAGGAACTCCACAAGCCAAACTTTTCACAATCCAATTATCACATATCTTGCCAATTTTTTTCTGGCTTGCCCCACGGGAAGACAGAACATGTGATCCAATTCCAGGTGAACTTCCTCACTTGGTTTCTCTAAAAAGTTTGTTGAACCTTCAATCATTCTTGCCAAGATATTTTTATTTGGTTGTTCTGGAGCAGCCCTAAAACATAGGCAATTATCATGTTCTCCCAGTTTTATTAGGCAAATACATATTTTTCTTATTCATGATATGTCTCGCCATTCTTTGCTTAAATTTTCCTGATTTTCCTTCCAGTTTCCAAACTTTTTCATTTTTTTCTACTGTCATCTGGATTAGTTCCAGTTCCTTTTTAAAAATTCATCTTCAGGTCTGGGTTGCTGTGAGTTTTTCAGGCTGTATGGTCAATAAAATAAAATAAAATCACAGCAACCCAGTGATTCCAGCCATGCAAGCCTTTGACAACATATGTTCAGGTCTCTTGCAAACTAAGACATCTTCAGTTTTATAGTGTTTATTTTATTTGTCGTGTCAGGGCAACCCGTCAGTTATATTACATATCTAACAGAACAAAGCAAACAAACAGACAAAATACAAAATTTGTGAGTTTGGTAGTTGATTAAATGTCCTTTGACCAGTATCTGGCCACTTGGGGGTGCTTCTGGTGTTGCTGCAAGAAGGTCCTCCATTGTGCATGTGGCAGGGTTCAGGTTGCATTGCAGCAGGTGGTCAATGGTTTGCTCTCCTCCACATTCGCATGTTGTGGATTCCACTTTGTAGCCCCATTTCTTAAGATTGGCTCTGCATCTCGTGGTGCCAGAGCGCAGTCTGTTCAGCGCCTTCCAATTCGCCCAGTCCTCTGTGTGCCCAGGGGGGAGTCTCTCATTTGGTATCAGCCATTGGTTGAGGTTCTGGGTTTGAGCCTGCCACTTTTGGACTCTCGCTTGCTGAGGTGTTCCAGCGAGTGTCTCTGTAGATCTTAGAAAACTATTTATAGATTTAAGTCATTGACGTGCTGGCTTATACCCGAACAGGGGATGAGCTGGAGATGTCTCTGCCTTGGTCCTTTCATTATTGGCTGCTACTTCCCGGGTGTCAGGTGGTGCAATACCGGCTAAGCAGTGTAATTTCTCCAGTGGTGTAGGGCGCAGACACCCCGTGATAATGCGGCATGTCTCATTAAGAGCCACATCCACTGTTTTAGTGTGGCGAGATGTGTTCCACACTGGGCATGCATACTCAGCAGCCGAGTAGCACAGCACAAGGGCAGATGTCTTCACTGTATCTGGTTGTGATCCCCAGGTTGTGCCAGTCAGCTTTCGTATGATATTGTTTCTAGCACCCACTTTTTGCTTGATGTTCAGGCAGTGCTTCTTGTAGGTAAGAGCACGGTCCAGAGTGACTCCCAGGTATTTGGGTGCACTGCAGTGCTCCAGTGGAATTCCTTCCCAGGTGATCTTCAGAGCTCGGGATGCTTCTCTGTTCTTGAGATGAAAGGCACATGTCTGTGTTTTAGATGGGTTGGGGATCAGCTGGTTTTCCCTATAATAGGCAGTAAGAGCACCTAGAGCTCCGGAAAGCTTCTGTTCTACTTTGATGATAACTCCACAGGTCTCCTTCTTTCAAGCACTCTGCTCCTCGATCTAAGAGGAGAGCACATTATTTTCTCAACAGACATTTTTTTAAAGAACGTGCTACCTGAAAATAATTTGTCTACCAGACATTATCTCTTTGCTTCAGTTTCCCTAATATGGCTCTTTTTACAGCATTTGGGATAAAACGGCACCAAGACGGCCACTAGTTTCATGTCAACAGTCTGGCCTTGTCCTTATTATACTGAGAAAGATAAACAGCATTGTATAGTCCCATTGTAGTTTTGCTATTTCTAATCCTCGATCTTTACTGTATTTGAAACACCATATTTCTTCAATTAAAAGCTGAATAAATCTCCGACTGGATGCAGATTCTCTCTCCCTTATTCTGACATTTCACCAGTAGGTAAAATGGAGAAATTTTGTTATGACCTATGTATATTTTATCAAAAAGAGAGGCATTAATCAATTATTTACTGTCCCTTCTAACAGAATGTGTTACTCTCAAAGAGCTCTGTACACTTTCCAGACCTCTGCTCATTTCTCTGCCCCAAGTGAAATAACCAAAACATTTTCTGACTCAGTCTTTCTTAGAAAGTCAGAGTATGCAGCTGTCACTTGTTTGAGGTGTGGGAACAAAAAAAATCCTTTTCTCACAATTGGATCCTGTTGGGAAAAGTGTGGCAGCTGGTTTAGATAGTAGATATGGGCTGTCATGAAAGGAAAGCAAACTTTTGATTAAACATAATATTGTTCTAGAGTTGTAAGAGATGCTGAGGTGCTTGTGGGTTTTTTGCTCTCAAGTCTAGCTTGCACTATGCACCACACTAAAACAGTGGATGTGGCTCTTAATGAGACATGCCGCATTATCACGGGGTGTCTGCCCCCTACACCACTGGAGAAATTACACTGCTTAGCCGGCATTGCACCACCTGACATCCGCCAGGAAGTAGCAGTCAATAGTGAAAGGACCAAGGCAGCAACATCTCCAGCTCATCCCTTGTTTGGGTATCAGCCAGCACGTCAACGACTTAAATCAAGACATAGTTTTCTTAGATCTACAGAGACACTAGCTGGAACGCCTCAGCCCAAAACCCAGCACCTCAATCCATGGGTGATACCAGATGAGAGACTCTCTCCTGGGCACACAGAAGACTGGGCGACTTGGAAGGCGCTGAACAGACTGCACTCTGGCACCACGAGATGCCAAGCCAATCTTAAGAAATGGGGCTACAAAGTTGAATCCACGACATGCAAATGCGGAGAAGAGTAAACTACAGACCACCTGCTTCAATGCAACCTGAGCCCTGCTACATGCACAATCGAGGACCTTCTTGCGGCAACACCAGAGGTATTCCAAGTGGCCAGATACTGGTCAAAGGACATTTAATCAACTACCAAGTTTGCAAAATTTGTGCCTTTTTTATCTGTTTGTTTGTTTGTTTTGTTCTGTTAGAAATGTAATACAATGGTATGGTTGCTGATGACACAATAAATAACTATGCACCATGATCAGGGGAAAGCACCTGTAATTCCAACAATGTTTTGAGGTAGTTCTGCACCTTTCTTTAGCATCAGTTCAATGGCTACCCAGCCGATGATGTCTTCCAGAAGCACCAATTATCTGTAAACTACACTGAACAGATTCCAAGAATGTTTCAGAGCAGTAATTCAGGCAGTGACCACAACCTGAATACATGTTAGAAGCAGAATTGCTTCAGTAAAGAGGATTTAAAAGGCCTGTATCTCTCTATTTGACCAAAGGTGACGGGATGTCTACGTACATTGTCTTAATTTGTTTTATTACAATACTTCAGCAAGCTGCTCTGGAAACTTGCTGAAAGAGGAAATATGTTCAAAAGAGAAGCCAAGCTAATGGGTGCACAAAAAAGAGTTTTACTGCTCTTAATTATTTTCTACTCTTCACGAACTGTCATACAATATCAGGAAATTATTAATGTTATTAACACACTTTTTAATGCACCCGTTTGCCTGGCTTTTTGTTCTGATTCTTTGTTTTGGGCATTACTTTTTTATTTGCTTCTCTTTTCTTCCATCCACAGAAAAAACTTAGATCCAGGGAGAAAGCAAATTTCCCCAATTCTGAAGCTGCAATATCAGTTGCTTCCTGAAAAATCTATAGATTCCAAGCTTTCATACAACACATAAACATGAGAATTTGCTGGATAAAACCATAAGCCTACTTATTCCCACTTTTGCCCATAAATGTCAATGACAGTGTCCACCTACTGATATTTCCCAGGATGTGGTAATCAGTCTGAAGTTCTCACTAAGTACCTGGAAATGGGAGATGCGTACCATGAAGCTAGAAATCTTTCCTCCTGGCATCATATTGGGGTAATTTTGAGTAAGAAAAACCAAGAAAAGGGTGAAGAAAATCTCATTCTCGAGAAATCTCATACTATATAGCAGGAGTCCTCAAACTTTTTAAACAGAGGGTCAGCTCACAATCCCTCAAACTGTTGGAGGGCCGAATTATAATTTGAAAAAAAATATATGAATGAATTCCTATGCACACTACACATATCTTATTTGTAGTGCAACAACACCTAAAAACAATAGAATAATTAAAATGAAGAACAATTTAAACAAATATAAACTTATTAGTATTTCAATGGGAAGTGTGGGCATGCTTTGGGCTGATGAGATAGGATTATTGTTGTTTTGTTGTTGTGTGCTTTCAAGTTGTTTCAGACTAAGGTTGACCTTGAGAGAGGGCCGGGTAAATGGCCTTGGAGGGCCGTATTTGGCCCTCGGGCCTTAGTTTGAGGACCCCTGCTATATAGGAACAACATGGTTAGTCTGAATTTGGGAACCGGGCCCAAATCGTTTTAAACAGAACTTTTTTTCAAGTTTCTTTCCCTTCACTCTTCTGGAAAAGCTCTGTTACTCACTGAGTGTCTTCCTCCAGCCTGGTCAGATCATCAGCTATAGGAGCATTTTGTTGCAGGTCCTCACTGATTCACCTGGTAAAAGCATGTCAATTAGTATCTCCTTCATATAACCCCTTTGGATTGAGCAACTTACCTGCATGAGGCTTCCAAGAATTGCAGAAACGTTTCTAAATTGCAGAGTTTTAAAAAAGTAATGCTTGCTACAAATTTAGTTTAGTTGTCTTGTTCAAAAAAGGCAACCCCTCAGGAAATAAAGTCAACACCAGATAGAAGAAAAGAAGCCTCCATTTTAATTCTAGAGGAAAATCAGAAGAAACTGGACTCTGAACACAAACAAATGAGACACAAGGACCCAGAAAAGAAGCTGTAACTTCTGATGAAGTTGGAGACAGTGGTAGTGAGGAGCCCGTACAAATGCCCAGAAATGTACTTCTTGGGTGTATTTACTAGTATGTCACACATTGTAGTTCCTAAAAACTCCCAAATGATTGATGAGATGATACAAATGGAGAGCTCCAGGAAATTTAAACAAGCTATTGTATGCAGCATCAATGTGATTTCTACTGTAAATTCTGTTCCCTGTGTATTTTCTGTAACTGGGTTCATGTAGGAAACAATTTCACACCATAGAGGTCAAATTCCTTTATGGTTGTTATTGGCTCTCTGAAGGGAGTAAGGAAATTTCCACAAGAAGGGGGCATTAAAAATGGCTGAAGATGTCAGCAAAGTCTTCATCTACTTCATATTCTCTCACACACATACCCTTTAAAAAGAAGGGGCAAAGCAATTGTGGGTCCACGTAATCCCTTACAGCGATGTCTACATTGGCTACACTTTGGAACAGGTCAGTTCCTTAAAACTGGAGACTGAGAGGTTCGGTTATGATCATTCCTCATTGTACTGATGGTGGGTGTTTAACTGGTAAAATCTAATTAAATGAGATGGACACATGAAGACCAAACAACAGACAAGAACACAACCCTTTCCAATGTGCAACATCTACTGTGATCCTGGGCAAAACTACATCACAAATTATACAAACTGATCTAAAATGTGCTTTTCCAATTTACACAGTTTTATTGATGAGCTGTCATCTTGATACCCTATTAAGGCAAACTGAGGGATAAAAAGGGATAAAAAGGTGTTTTAAAAAATAAATGCAAAAGTGTTTTTTTTTCAAAACCTTAGGATTATTTTTACTCATGACAATATTCGTTAAAAATATTACATCTGCCTTTGAGAAGAGAGAGTCTCATCTTTTTATAATATGGAAAAATAAACTCTACACGACATCCCAAATTGGCACACAGGTGCTTTAAAATAACATCCACTCCTATTATAGTTCCTCGGGGTTACCTTGCCCCTCTCTCCCATCCCCCAATTTTGCTTAACACGCTGGACTGTATGAATGGGTATAAGACAAGAATACCTAAAAACAGTAAAATGTTTATTTCCTTAGAAAAAAAAGAGGGATTCAAACTGATTGCAATCACAACTTCCATCTGCGGTCAGCAAAGCCAATACTGAAAGCTTATTCCTCGATTGAAACAAGCAGCAAAAGAAGTGGTGTATTTTTAAAAAATACAGATTTCTGCTCCTGCATCACCATAGCCAGTATTTCCGTGACAACATGCTTTTAAATTGACAGCTTCTTCCTAGCAGAGAAACGAGGTCTGTCATGGCAAAGCATCCCATTTCCAAAGCTCAACATTGTCAGCGTTAACAGGAACTCCAGAGCCCATCACGGCTGGATTGACGGACTGGAAGAGGCTCAACTGCTCAGTTATGGAAGATTCTGTACAACACCAGCTCGGCCAACAGAAAACAGGCTAACAGCCCCAGGGAAATCCAAGGTGTCACTCAGATTTAATGTCAAAGATCCGCTGTGTTCCTGGACAAGGAAAGTGACAATCGGCAACAAGTTTCAACCAGCAGCAGCCAAGGTAGTTCCACACAAGCCGTCCTTCCTTCCCATAGCCATGTTCATTGTATGGTCATTGAGAAACACTGTAACTGAATGGAGCATACAATGTGGAAATGATCTTTTGTTATGTAGTGCTGTTCACTTGAGAAGACTTCCAGAAAATATCTTCACTGGACCATAATCTATTTACACAGTAGTATTCCTGGTTGATCAGCAGAATTGGCACTATGTGATGTCCTCCTCTTCTGAACAGTAATCACGGCCCTTCAGAGGGAAAAAGAACATTTTTAAGATATGTTATATCTGCATTAAAATAATACACAGAAAATAAAAAGTGGATATAGCTAGAGAAAACAATGGCTTCAGTTTACGCAAGCTCCATTAGGATTGTTCTGTTTGGAATATCTCCATGCAACAATGTTCTGTAAACTGCACACCTGAAGTCACAGCATTTCCTAAGTAAACAAAGAGCAACATCTTTCAGCTTCAGCCTCACACTTCGCACCATGAGGACAATAATAACCACAGGGTTCTTGTAAGGATTCATGTGTGCAGATTTAAAGACAGCTACACATCCAATGCACTACAGGTAACCTCTATCTCAAACTCATACACAAGGCAAAGCTAAGGAAAAGTGTATTCTACAAATAAGGACTGACCTAACTGCATTTCCCAAGTTGAATATTTGAGTCTTGCTGGGGAAGGGAAGACATAATGCCATTGTATCCAGAAAACAGTGAATCCCACTTTCTAAGTCAATCAAGTATCCACTACCAATATAATGTGCCTTGTCCAAACTGGATGTCAGTTCATTGGCCTTCAACCAATTCATTTAACTCCAGGAACCATGTAAGCATCTCTAATGTCTAAACTGATTCTGCTAGTGATGAGACCAACGCCAATCTTCTGGTGACTTCTCTCAGCACGAACACACAAGCTATATAGTGTTTTGAGAGGCTGCTGAACAAGACCATGAATCTGTTGTAGCCTCTGTGGGGCAGAGAAACAAACATTTGAAGCCATTTTCTGGAAATGGGCATTAGATAAGAGAGTTGATTCAAAACTATTTCATGATAAAATTGATGTAGTCCAAAAAACATGGTTGAAAATAGTTGTCTTCACAGGGTAGTCCACAGAACATGGTTGAAAAACACTCTTCCTTGTATTGTCTGGGTTGTTATAGGTTTTTTCGAGCTATATGGCCATGTTCTAGAGCATTTTCTCCTGATGTTTCGCCTGCATCTATGGCAAGCATCCTCAGTTGTCCACATGCTGGTGGATTTCAATGACTTCTCCGTGTAGTCTGACATGGTGGTTGTTGGAGTGGTCCAGCATTTCTGTGTTCTCAAATAATATGCTGGACCACTCTAACAACCACCATATCAGACTACACAGAGAAGCCATTGAAATCCATAAAGATGTGGACAATTTCAACAGAAAAGAGGAAATCATGAAAATGAACAAAATCTGGCTACCATTATTAAAAAACTCTAAAATTACAACAGTAAAACAACAGAGAGGAAACAATCAGGCACATCTAATCACCTCTCAATAAAAGTTTGCCGCAGGCACTGCCAGGCCATCAAATGCAAATCAAGGTGGTCAGTTGAAACATTCACACCTAGCTCCAGCAGACAAGAGTCCTTTGTCCCACCCTGCTCATTCCACAGATATATAAACCCACTTTCCTAGTTCCAATAGACCTCACTGAGGATGCTTGCCATAGATGCAGGTGAAATGTCAGGAGAAAATGCCTCTAGAACATGGCCATATAGCCTGAAAAAACCTACAACCCAACACACTTCTTGTCTTTCTCTGAGCACAAGTTATGCCCTGGACAAACTGAGCCATCTTGCTGCCAAACCCAAACTGGAAGAAGTCTAGATATCTGTGATAACTAGGAACAGCTACACATAAAACAGCTACCACTGTTTGGAGCCTTGCGTATCTGCCAGGCTTCAAAAAGGGTATGCAATTGTGAATAGATGGTTGTTGACGCAATCCTAGGTATCCCAAAAAGAATTCCTCACTGCTTTCTCTAAGGAGGTAAGAGGGAGCCCCCGCCTACCAACCACAACACATAAGGGAGGTGAAGACACCTGTTTCCTGACCTCTTCAGTAACCTAACCTAACTTCAAGGGGATTTTTTAAAAATTCCTTGATTTGAAATTCAGCTCTTGCTCTACTTTTTAGGCATTTTGTCAGTTTTCAGATTACTTTGTGTAGGCAGGAACAGCACTTGAAAAAGAGAGAGGCAAGAAAGAGAGCACACAGACATTGGTTAAGAAATGGAGGATACAGCCCACGCCTTCCTGAAGCATGACAAGCAGATCTTCAGCACAGCCTGTCTCTGAAAATGCAGCTACCACAGAGAAAATGGATCATGGCTGAATGCATTAATTGAATGAAGAAGCTAACATAATGTCATCTTTGAATATAGGTCACTATCATACCCCTTCATACCAATCTGTTCCACTTTGAAGTATTCCAAGGTGCAAAGTAGATTCATTTTTCACCTTTGCATCCTAGCACATGCAGAAGAAACGGGACTGAAGTAAATACTGGGACAAGAAGGAGTGAGGGGACATCTTTTAGAGGGAAGACTGATCTTTCTCCCACAGTTTGAGGTAAGTAAAGTTCCAACTTGGAACAAAGTTCCAAAGTCAAGAGTTGGATGGAGGGAGAGAAGGAGGTTTGTGGAGAAGCTATACACAGAATACTTCTCTCAAATATGAGCAGCCAATTGGGAGGCAGATAAATACTTTTATGTATCCTAAAGTCATCACAGTCAAATTTGAGTCATTATTATGTCCTGGTTTGGAATTCACCTTGAGCTTTTGGAATTCATCTTGAGCTTTTACTTTTCCTTCCAGCTTGTATATTACTTTCTTTGTGTAGGATGTACTGTACTTTGTTTAGTGTTTAATTCTGAAAACCACAGACTGCCATCAACAGCTGGCGTTAAAACTAGGGAGTGGTGATAAAAGTGGTACTGGTAGGCAAAATCCAATGTATACCCAATGAAATTGTAAGGTGTGATAAATACATCTCAGTTATTTGCATAGGTCTGCTCTAGTTGGGGATAGTAGTGAATTTAACCTTTTTTTGTTTGACTAGATCTAATTTTAGGTACCAAGTAGAGAGTACCAATTGAAATGAATGGGATTTGTTAGTCACCATTTATGTAAATAAATCTCACTGATTTCAAAGATTCTACCTTAGTTCACACTAAGATTTAATTTGGCCTAACCATCATCACTATCACCTAAACAACTGAAATTCAACTGAAGACTGCAATTTAATTGCAGACTCGAACTGACTCCAGAATCTTTCCTATTTGAAAATAAACATTTCAGGACAGGAATACTGTACACTAAGCAAGAAATGAATCATCAGCTATAAGTTAGTTCTGGTCAGGGCCATTGAAATGATGCCCACATTATGTCAATTATATAAGACTGAAACACAAATTAGATTAAGCTCTTTAAGTGTAAGCAAGTCATGATGTATTTCCTAAATGGCATATGAATAATATGAAAGAAATGGCTTGCATCTCAGACAGCATCAGACCGGCACTTGTCAGACTATTGTGCGTGATTAATATCGTCTTTGTTATTTGACATTCTGATAAGATAAATATAATCTATTTTTAAATAAATCTAAGTCCCCATATATCATTTTATTAAGTAAGTTAATGTTTCCTCCTTTCTGTTGAAATTGTCCACATGCTTGTGGATTTCAATGGCTTCTCTGTGTAGTCTGACATGGTGGTTGTTAGAGTGGTCCAGCATATTATTTGAGAATACAGAAATGCTGGACCACTCCAACAACCACCATGTCAGACTACACAGAGAAGCCAATGAACTTACTTAATGCCATGAATATATGGTGTAGCTGTTGGAGTGCAGAATTAAGGCGGGAAGACCTAAGTTCAAATCTCGACTCAAAGGTCCTTGGTCCTCTTTGGGCCAATCAGATTCTCTAAAATTTATTTCACAGTTATTTCAAAAATAATTAAGGGAGTGGGAACTATGTCATCTTAGCCTCTTAGAAGAAAGGTGAAATATAAAGAACTACAACAACAAAAAGTCCAAATATTTTCCAAAGATATTTCCCAAACTAGATCCTATGGCTTGTTTGGACAAAAAATTCCAACCTATCAAACTAGCAAGACAACACAGGCATCACGCCTGGTGTGATGGGAGTTGTCATCTATAATATGTAGAGGGAACTGGTGATGGAAGTCTGTGCCTAAGCATGCAATGAAACTGGAGTGTTTTCTCTTACTACCCACTCGAATTTCAGGCAATACACGTATTTTTAAAAGCTACTCAAAGAATCCTTGTAATTTGACAGACATTATGTCTTAAATAGCAAAGCTATGATCTTGAAAAGTTCAATCTTGAAAGCTCAAAGAAACACCTAAATGCATCAGGAAATACAGACACAGTTGTCACATATTTGGTCATGACAGCAGGACACATATAGGGATCTATTGGAGGTTCAACACAGCAGCCTCTTTTGCTTCCACTCAACACAATTTTCAGAAGTTAAGAATGGTAAAAGTTCTACTGGCATACCCTTTTATTAGTTGCGTCATTGTTTTAAAATGACAGATTAATAAACAAACTGACACTACAGGAATTCTCTGGGCTAAATGACTTTTTTTGTACTGTTGTAAAGCCTTCCATGGTGTGAGGCCAGGGAGGGCAGATGTCTCTAAGGCAACACAGCATCCTCAACAACAGGATCCCACTTTCTAGCTGTCACTCTAAAGGAAGCAAAAGAGGAGGACAAGGGGCTGGTTGCCATGAGTGCCACTGTTTCAAACAGTCTTGCCTTGCGCTATGGCGGAAAACACTGAAAGACAGAGTGACTCTTTTCATGAACACATCTCCAAGGCAATGATGAAATAGCTGGTTCCTAGAGGAGTTCCAACTTCTGTTTTTCTTCCGTTCCCAGAATGGGTAGAATAAATATGCACATGTATGTGCAACCAAACATGTAACTCAAAACCCATATGCAAAGTGTTATCTTCTTTCATTTGTGCCAGATAAATAATGAATCCATCTAAACATCTCCCACACTAGCCAAGTAGTGGCATGATGTAGAAAAAGGCCAAACTGTCCCTTTAGGTCACATCCCTTACACTGGTTTATCATGTGATCACCTGTGCTGACATAATCCTCTGAGATCAAGTATGTATTTCAACAGTGATATTCAATTTCAGTATTTGCATTTTAGAAAATAATCAGGCAGCATTC